CAAATTTCTGTAAATCCACAGGCGCGGGAGACACCAAAGCCCGCGAGAATGTACTAGCAAGGACACCCAAGAATTTCATGTGAAACCACTCCACGGAAATATAGAGTATGTCATTAAACGAAAAGTACGCGAATCTCAGACCGCAGCAGAATCCGGTGGACCGATTCAGCCATCCTTGCAGGTAATTACTGAAACGAAGGGTGAAGATTCGGAACGTGCACACGATGGAGTTTGGGCTTCTCAATGGATTCTGTGTCCTGCAACTATAAGGAGCTGAAGCGATTCTAAAGTGTCTAAAGAGCGGATTCAATGACTGAGAAAGTTTAGAATATGAAAGAAAATAGTTAATGCGGAAGCTACATCAAGCGCTCTCCCTACAGTGCCTGTGCTTCTTTTGAATTCCGCCCTATGAATGCTAGTAAAATTATAGGCAGTTATGGAACTTATGCACGACTACGATATGCTTTGTTCACGTTTGGACTATTTAGAATAACTGCCATGCGGAAACGCGGGAGTCTGCTTGTGGGGCCAATTTTGATCACACTTTGGATTGATAAAAGTAAAGTTTCAAGAGAGCATAGTATATGAAGAAATCTTGAACAATGCGGTATACTTACTTACTTGCCGACTAGCTACATGGACGGTCCGTCCTCACTAGTTGTGCGGACCCCAGCTCATGATCCATTCGTCCCTTTGCTGCGCGACAGTCGTCCATGACGGTGGTCCAATTTGAGCATGGCGTGTCACATCGTGATCTGAAAGATATCGGAGCTGCGAGTACAGCGCCTTAATATTTTCAACGAACATTTCCGCCCAACGTGTTGGTGGTCGTCCTCGAGGACGCGTACATTGTCGTGGAATCCACTCTACGGTTCTTCTCATCCATCGGTCGTCTATTCTTCTCAGAATATGACCGGCCCATCCGTGTTTCACTATAGATGTATAGACCTCCGGGTCGCGAAGATGGGATAGCCCTCAATGATCTGAGCTATGAAAGCCTGCCAGATGTTGTGTGCGCCCACAAGATTTCAGAAGACATCGTTCAAGAGCTCTGTAAGTTGTTCGTAGCAGTCTTGACGTGATCGAAGTATCAGCCCACGTCTCAGCTGCATAGCCAGAGCGCCGGGAATACCGCTAATCGAAAAGGTGAGCACGGAGTTTTGGGTCCGTTAGCTGATCGGTGGCTTCATTGAGAGGCCCAAATGCGGTCTATGCTGCTCTTCTCCTTCTATCTAGTTCCTCTTAATGCTGTTTTCCATGTTCAATGATCGCCCGAGGTACACATACGAGGTGGTTTCTACAATCAGGGAACCATCCATTTCGACTTGATCACCATTGTACTATGGGTTCTTCATGAACTGGGTCTTCATCCTATTGATACGCAATTCGATCTTCTTTCCGGCTTCGTTTAATTCTTTAAACGTCGTCTCTGCTTCATTGGCACTTTTTAAAATGATGACGATGTTGCCCGCAAAACGAAGATTTGAATGAATTTTCCATCGACACAAAAGCCCTTCTCGTCCCAATCGAGCGACTTCAATACCCACTGCAGCGCGGCCGTGGGACAGCTTTGGCAATATCGTATCGCCCTGTCAAACCCCTTTACCAATGGGTATGGTTAAAGGTCGTTGAAAAAGCTGTATTTCTGTGGTGCAGTTTTGATAGCAGTACGACTAGGCTCTTATACAGGGCTGGTCCACTCCTTGATCGAGAAGCGCTTGATAGAACTGCATTTGTTTCCACGTTTATACGTTTGCATAGTCGACAAATATTAGGATTAAGGGCACGTGATACTCCCTACTAACTTTGATGACACGTGATACTGTTTGGACGTGGCCCACGCAGCAGAATCTTTTACGAAATCCTGCTTGTTCAATTAGCTGCACCTCATCCGAAGTTTCATGTTATGCGCAGAAGTACAATTTTCGTAAAGAGGTTGAAGAGCACCATTCAGCAAGCAACTGTATCGATAATTACCGAGATCCCTTCGGTCACCTTTTTTCATGGAAAATGATTGTGCGCAACGTCCTCCACTGGTGAAGAAATTTTTTCTTCTGAAGGTAGGATGTCATATGTGCGGCGAGTATACATATAGATTGTGCGTCAAAACTTAAAAAGTACGGCGGTGATGTTATTGAGTCTTGGAGCTGTGCCATTCTTCATGTCCTTCTATAGCAACACGCACTTTTAGAGTGCAAAATCCTGTGTTTACCAGTGAGGATTCACGGGGTCCGAGACGAGGGATGCTGGAACGGATATTGTTGATGCGAAAATTTCCGCAATCAATTCCATGTCATGGACATTTTCTAGATTCCCGTCTTCATATGTTCGCGGGTTGCGGAGGCGGTAACACTATACTCGCACAGGTTCCGACGGTATTTCTTTAGACTAGTCTTTTTTGTGCTGCTGTCTCAACAATTTCTCCTGTCTGTACCGCTGCAGATCCTCTCGCAGAGCTCTTCTACAGCTAGAGTTTATCATCACTCGAGCTTAGTGTGTTGCATTAGGATTAAGCCTTACTTTTTCTTCTCTTTTTCAGCAACTCCTTAGTGGTAGTGTAGATGCGATCTGGACTCCTTGTTGGAGTAATTGAAGCGGACTCGGCACAGCACAACTTTTAAGGTCTTTTAATAAGCAGCTCGTAGTCTTCGGTCTGATCTTTCTTTATCTGCCAGTTCATGGTGGGACAAAAATTGATTAAGAATGTCTTCGCAGTAACGGCTTGACAACTTTTACTTAATCAATGACATGACATCTTTTCCAGCGTGCGGTCTGAATCGAATCTTTACTCTAGGAAGGCTGTGGCCCGGACAAGTACAGAATGATGTGACTACGGATGTGTTCAAGAAGGCATCATCTCTGTGTTGTGAGTATATGGTTGATATCTCGCATGCGTCGTGCATTAGGTGACTTGCGTGCCCAGCGACGGTGTTGTGTTTCTTATGGAAAAGTGAATTTTCCTGGAGAGAGACGTCCTGCAGGACAGGGTTTTGTAATGACTATTCCTGCTCTGATGATAAATTCCTCATGATCCATCAAATTATAGTGGCTTCTCTGCCTTCCCTGAAAATGAATATGTTGCGCGAAGAAAGCGACTATCTGATTTCGTGGTGCACTTTCAGAACAACACCAATATGGGTTAGTGAAAAACTTTCAGCATATTTAGATGCGCTCTTATTCGGTAGATACTTTCTACTGGGAGACTCCTGCTGTCCATCGCTCAGAGTGAAGTTTACGAATTGGGAATCACCATGGTTGTGCTGTTCATCATGATAAACTCAAATGACTCTGCCAAATCCCTTTTTTAAAGCCACGCATGTCATGTGGTCTGTAAAAAGGGGCTGAAATATAGAGCCCGATACACGTGTATCAACCTTGCAGTCGAGTACCCACACAGGAAATGGCAAAATACGAAAGTGTAACTGCCCGACTGCCGAAACCGCAAGGTTGAAACAGTTGTATCGCGCGCTCTATAAGTCAGCCCATTTCAACAGGCCACATAACATGCGTGGCTCAAAAATAATTATTTGGCATTTTAAAATATGAGCTGTGGTTCTCAAGAAATACTCGAAACGAAGAGATCAAATGAATCGCTTCTGCTGATTCTTTTTCTGGCTTACTTCTTGCATTGCATTTCTAGCTGATTGAACCTCTAAGAATGCAGGGTCTTCTCTATAAAACTTGTCGTGGTACGATATAGAGCGCTTCGAGTTCGTCTTAGTCTTAACTTAATGTTGGTGCGTGAACAATGAGGACGATCAAGGCTCCTATTTATCCAATTTGCCTCAACCTTAAGCTCCGAATCCGGTTGGTTAGCTGTTTGAATGAATCGGTGTGAATGGTGGAACTCGTTTTGATGAGACGTCAACGCCGCCAACTCCTCTACTATCGCACGTTCTGGGAAACAACTCTTATCCGGTATTGTGCATACCAGCTTGAAATGAACTCGGAAATGGGATGGTGTCATCTCGTGTGTGTGCTAGGCCGATTGACCCTCGTGCCTGATCCATCTTGCCTTTTAGCAGCCTCTCCGTGTTCGCCCTTTCCAACGCTTTCGTAACAAGAGGTTAGAGGAGTAAGGCCCGTTTTCCTTACAGTGCTTAGGTTTACAACCAGCCTATAGCTTACTAAGTTCTGAACGTGGACAGAATTCTCACTGGTAGTTGCTAATCTTTCGCGAAAGAGCGGAAAAAAGAGCTAATTCATTGAAGGTTACTCCTATCTGCTTCCCATGCTTCCCATGTATTTCCCAGGCCAGATTCGACTCGTAGAAAAGAATATGTGTATCAAAATGGGTTTGAAGTAGCAACAAGTCCAGTTTTTACATTCGCCTGCGTTTTATGAACAGTATATGGCCGTTTTGGTTGCGCACAATTCTATCCGCCACCCGGTGATGCGTCGCCTGCCCTCGCGACGCTTACCGAGCCAAGATCCCTCTATGAGAAAGGTTGTTGGCGAGCATAGTGAAAAAGGTCTGTAAGAGATGTTTCAGATGGTAAGGGTAATATTGAGGTATGTCGGACATACAGGAAGAGAATTCCTTCAATTTGGCCAAAAGTCATGGACCGTACTAGTTTTCAATTCAAGTTATTTTCACACATGCAGACATTGATATCAATGCATACGTTGGCAAATACACTGCTCAAAGCTTTCCATGAGGAGCGAAAGTATCTATAAGATCAATGTTCAAATAACAATAATTGTACGTCGCTAATCAAATAAAGTTGATGATGAGAATTAGAAATGAAAATCTTTCGAGTAAAACAAATATTCAGTGCCACAAACACTGCTGTGTAGGAAAAACACAAAATTATAGATCATTACTATTGATTCTATTTCACAATAGCTGACTAGTGGACTTGAAATGTTTTCTAATCAAGATGTGATACTGTAAACATATATGCAAAGCACTACTTTTCACTATCCTATTCTGCCTCACGGTAGATAAAATCAATTATTAAATGATACCCAACAATGTGGAGTGCTGTGCAAAAACGTTTTGCGGTCAGCCGGGATTTGAACCCAGATCTCACTCTTTCCCGGAGCGAATGCTAACCGTTGCACCACCGGACGCCTTAGCATTCGCTCCCGGAAGAGTGAGATCTGGGTTCAAATCCGGCTGACGCAAAACGTTTTTGCACAGCACTCCACATTATTGAGTATACTGTAACATCATACCACTGCAAGTGGGGCAGTCAAATAAAAAGAATTCTGACCTATTAAATGATATCTTTATGTTTGCATGTCATGTGGCGGAAAATTTAAATGGATCTATGAAATGTTAAACTCTGTTTTTTTTTGAAAAGCATTTCATTAGGATTTTTCCTGTAAATTTATAGAGGAACCAGCAACACGCGTTGTTGCCGGGTGACTCTCATCTTATGAGCTTTTGTTACAGCCAGTGTAAAACAAAGACTGATCAGACATTGTGCAGTCGTCTATGCTTCTAAAGCAGTTGACCAATGAGCATTCAAGAAATGGGAGTATATAAAGTTTGGCTGAGTCTAACAGCAGTATTCTTTGGTCGGCAACAACACGTGCACCATTGCCGTTTACATGAACAGTTAGCTCATAGTAAAGCACCATGAACAACTGCACGTTGTCTGATCAGTCCTTGTGTTAGACTATCGGTAACATAAGCCCATAAGACTAGAGTCGTTTAGCAACAACACGACATTCTAGCTTTCATTTATTGATAACCTCGTATCACAGAACCTATGAGAAGCCTATGATGCAATTAACCTACCCTGCTGATAATGAGTTGTGGTAGACCCTCAAAATGTTTCGCAATACCCTGTCCATGGCAGGTTCAAGCGTCTCTTCAGTAATGAAAGAGCGTGCCACAGTTAAGGAGAACGATGTATGCGTATTTACTGAAATAATATAAAGGCACCTTCGCGTAATGGTGAAAAATTTGCTTAAATGCTTTTCAGATAGTACCTTTTTCTAGGCTGTTACTAGTATCTCAGAACTCTTGGCTGTACCTCGTCTCTTTGGGCCTTAGAGGTGAATCATCTTGCTACTGAAGTTGGTGGAGTTTCAGCAGGCCGCTGCATATATTGATGTGTTTTTTTAATCAGCCTCTACCGGTTCAGATATTACTGCTCTTCTTCTCTAATTAAGCTGTCCTTTTCTCGCCGTACTGCAGAATGTTGTAAGTTTGAGCATGAATGGATGGTTGCCTGCTGTTTGTACGATTTTACGTTGCCGTCAGCTATAGTGTTTATGGAGAAGAACATTTTTTGATGATTTCCAAGCTCTCAGATTCTATAGCGCTGGCGTGAAGATATTAAAAAGCCGGTAGTATTCTTATTCGATGTTGTCGGCAATGGCAACTTCTTGGAAGCCGACTAATGACCGAATCAAATCCCAGTTTGCAGTGGTTTCAGGATAAAGTTTTTGAGCTTGGCGGCTTTCCTCTTTTTTCTTGAAATATGGATTACTGTTAAGGGAAAACCTTGAATTAGTATCTTGTAGAATTTTGGGACAACACCAACATTAGTAAGGCATCACACTGTAACACTTCCCCTTTGCTATGATACTCTTTATTGTGACTCCCACATCCACAAATGAGACTGAGGTTTCTAGAATCGCGAGTCAGCATGGCTGATTTGGTTGCCATAAAAAAATAATCTTTCATCTTGCTCGTTCCATTCTAATTCGTGAAACCTGGCTTAAAGTCTTTCAGACGCTCATCTACATGTAATTTTGTCATTTACATCCCTAATAATGGCCTCAAGAGAAGAACGGTCTTCTATGTAGAGGTTATTGAAATCCATATAGAGAAGTTCTCTTTGTATAGCTCAGTTTTAGCGCGTGAACGATGAGCACTTTTAAAGCCAATAATGATTCACATATTTCAATCACAAACGTCCGATATGGGTCATTAGTTGCTCAAAGGTTCCGATACTCATGACCAAACTCGTCTTGACGAGGAGTCTTGACACTGCAGAGGAAATCATCTATGCAATTGGTACGATAGAAAAAAGGCGCTTTATAACATCTCAAAGTACTGAAATTCTGAAAATTTCCTACCAATGGAGAGACTAGTATCAGTTATCGAAGAAGCTAACTTTGCACCTGAGGGTTCTGAGGAAATGTAAACCACACACCTTTGGACTTGTTCTTACATCTTCGAGCAATTTTTCGTATTTGATTCTTCATCACAATAAATCTCAGACCACATAAGGCTAAAAACAATTTACGTCATCAAACACTGATTAACTAGGCAGAATAGAAAATTATTTCTGTTACTGAGCAGTTTTTTTTGTAGTATTTTATGTGATAGACCACACAGACGTTAAATTCGTTCCTCTTTAGAGTTTAGATTGAATGAAAAAAGAGAAGTGCCTAAAAAGAAAAAAGACGATAAAGTTGAAGAATCGAAAAAGAAACAAAAGGTTGACAAAAAGAAGAAAAGCTCCGAGCCTACTGAACAAGTAGTTTCACAAAGGCGCAGGAACAGGAAAAGCAAAGCCAATGGAAGAAAGGAAGAAAAAGAAGCTAACAAAGAACCGACGACTTGTAAGGTATGCTGTGAAAGAGTGGCGATTAGGAAATGTGAGAATTCATCACGATACATATTCAGTCTACGATTGTTCAAAATTAGCACATGGAACGGTTTCTACGGAAGTGAGTTCTCAAATGCGCAAAAAATTTGCATGATAAGACCTGCCCTAGGGGTATGCGTGCAAAAACTTTGTTTAGTTGCCTTGCAACAAGCACGTGGTCGTTGGTTTAATTTCAGGCCTTACGCTTCAGGCCTTTTATCTTTCCGTGTTGCCAGATAGGTACTAGGCTTGCCTGGAAGATTAATAGCTGTGAGCTGATACATCATCAGGCTACCGCAGGCCACTGTATTTGCCAAACGTGCGTTCAATCACCTCTAGCGATGTTTGATATAGTCGAAAGCATGGAAAGTGCCCTAAACATTGATCAACACCAAGACCTTCAACATTAACCCAGATTTGTCACTGCGACTAATATTAATAGGTTGGTGAAGAGTAAATGCGGTTTCAGATCGGGTCAAAACTGCTATTGCTCTTGTTACCATCATTTTAGAAGGGGCGAACGACCTTGAAGTCATCGACGTTATGTTTTCAGCAACGATATCAACATATCGTGTAGTCTTACTGTTAGCCTTCTAGTAATTAGCCTTAAGTTGGTGTAAGAGTAGTTGCTTTCATAATCTAGGAGGCACTCGTCTCCTTTACAAAAGTTCTTGATAGACCGCTACACTGTTCGTTCGGTAGCAGTTCCCGAGCAACGTGTGCTGTTAATGTTTCGAGGTGTTTCTGCTGCTTTGAGACTCAATTTCAACTCGAATAATAAAATCGCTGATCTTGCTTACATCGAACATCCTGTCCATCCGTCCAGCATCTAAAGTTAATATAAGATAAGCAAAAAGTGATACGTCATTAGCAGAAAAACATGGAGCATAAAATGCGCGTTGAGAAGATGTTAAACATTACCACATTTATTCAAGAAAGATATTTCGATATCAAACGGCGCATTTCAACAATGCGTAGATCGTAACTTTTTCCATCAACTAATTTTTCACTAGCATAGCTGTCTACATAATCATATTAATAGTTTTTTTGTGTTATTATTGATGGCATTGATCATTTAGCCACAGACAGTGGTCGGTGACCAACCAAAGACGGCAATGACGGCTTGTGCTAAAGCGGCCGACCAACAAACTACTGCAGCACCACTTGAGGATACACCGGCAAATGGCGCTCCACCAGGAAAAACGATAGTAGGAGAAGCGCCAGCAGGAGAAGCTTTGCCTGGAGAACCATGCAATCCAGGAGCAGCTCATTCACAGAAGAAAGCTCCGCAACAAGAACGGAAATCTAACTATAAGGATGCCACGTTATTATCTCAGAAATGCGCTCGACAGGAACAAAATGCACAGGTGGCAGCTGCTGCTGGCATGAAAGCGGTATGTGTTCACTTACTGCTTATTTTGAGCTATATGGTTCTAACGAACATTTCTACATTTTATGATTACAACCATGAGATAAATTCTTGCGAAAAAAATGCCCTCACTTCTACAGAAAGTCCTTTGTAGTTGTCTTTCCCAAATTGGCTATAATTGTTTCTGATTCAAGCTGAAGACAGTTGCTGCTGGAAATTGTCACCTGTTACACCACTGATTCCCAAGTGACTCTAGCAGCATTTAGTAACTTCTCCAATACTTTGGAACTTAGCTCTGAACACACTATAAGACGAGCATTGAGATCTGAAGACCTTTGTCAATGAAGAAGTTTTGCTTATCCCATTACAGCCGCACTTGTCTCACTCGCCTCCGCTCCTCAAATGACTCGAGAAAGCTTATCTGAAGTCTTAAACCGTACTGCGCGAAAGTAAATTACTATAGTGACTCCTATTCACTCCGGGCTCACTAAAATCCACATGCTTTCGTAGGATGTTCGTGAATAAATTGGATCACTGGATTGGTGACGTGCGTAATGTGTTGTGCTATTGACAATCCATTGAACCTATTGTTTGACGGCTCTTATACACTGCATATCGTCAAGACATGTCACGTAATTTCAGTGAAAATGCATATTCGATTCAAAAGTTCGACTTTCTATAAACCTCGGCATAATCAATTGATATATGAAAATGGAGAAAACTTATCTTGATTAGCTGACGCGAGGTTGATAAAACAGTTGTAGAAATTCGGCTGACGTTTCGGCGACCCGCCTTCTTCAGAGCCTGGACGTATATAGTATTAGTCTATTTGAATGATCGGATGGTCTTATTTATATGCTGCCTAGGTCACGTTAGAAGATCAAACGAAGAAAGGGCGCGAGATCTCGCGTGATGGTGACGCACTCGTCCTTCCGATTCATTTCGGGGTTTTGGGCGTTTATCCAAAATGCCTCAAGAGTCTTGCGCGTGGACGTTTTTGATTCCTGCGCCAGGATTGTGACAGTCACATCAAAATCCTTGTTGTTGTGTTTTTGTGCCCTATGTAAACCTAAAGGTTTGGTTTTATCTATTTTAGATTTACTGTCTAGATGTTCTTTATGCGGACGAAAAGTGGTCTTCCCGTTTCGCCTATAT